TAACTGAATTTAGCAAGATTACTGAATAGAAGCCACTATACAAACATCAACCATGTTTCATTATATCAGCAATTAAAAAACAAATTTTTAGAAATAGAGAGCTTTTTATAATAACATAAACCATCAGCTTTTTAGGAATAATTTTTTTTTTTTTTTTTGCAGTTTTTGGCTGGGGCTGAGTTTGAACCTGCCACCTCCAGCATATGGGGCTAGTGCCCTATTCCTTTGAGCCACAGGTGCCGCCCCAGGAATAAATATTTTAAAAAATGGGCACAACCTCTACTTAAAACATTATAATTATTAAAATTAAAGAAGACCTAAATCAGGGGCCCTCAAACTTTATAAACAGGGGGCCAGTTCACTGTCCCTCAGACTGTTGGAGGCCAGACAGTGGGCCGCGAGACGAGTCAGCTGCTAAGCAGGACAGGCAGTGGTGACAAAAACACCCGGCAGGCCGCATGTGGCCCACAGGCCGCAGTTTGAGGACGCCTGACCTAAATAAATGGCAGTCCAGTTTGTTCCTAGTCGGTGTGCTAGCAAGCTTTTGAGTGTGTGACTTTCCCAGCTGGTTCAAAAGTTTATAAAGGGCCAAGAATACCCACTCTGGATTCCTGCCTTTTCGGCCAAGGAACAGTCCCCAGTAGAAATGATGACTTGCTCCTACCTGCCCTTCTGGGAAGGGATGGTTATGACTTTGGTGGTTATGTTGATTTATAATTTATAAAGGCCAAGACAAAAGTTAGAGAGTTTACTTTACCTGACATCCAAATGTAAGTTTCCAGAAGGTAATGGAGGGGACTGTTTTCATGGTTTGGGGGACTGAGAAAGACTTCTTAAAGGAGGTACAGAAAGCACAACTATCAAGTGTAAAGTCAATACATTGTACTGCATTAAAGTTAAGAACTCTTCATCAAAACATACCATTATGAGAGTGCAAAAGCAGGCAATAGAGTGGAAGGAGATAGTCGCCTCATTTATAACCAGTTAAGGGATCGTATATAAAGGATATATAATGAAATCCTATAAGTAATAAGAAAAGATAGTCCAGTCTTTTCAGTGGGCAAGAAACTTGAACTAGTGACAAAAGAGGATATTCAGATGATGAAGAAACAAAAAAAGATACTTAACCTTATCAGTTATTAGGGAAGTGGAAATTAAAACCACTATAGATACCTCTATTCACCTGCCAAGGATGACTAAAGTAAAAGTGTTAGTGAAGGTGTGAAGCAGTTAACTTTTATATTCTGCTGGTGTGAGTGTAGCTGGCACAATCACTTTTGAGAACCATTTGACATTGTCTACTGAAACTGGCATATGCATATCCTGTGACCTAGCAGATTCACTCTGAGATTTGTGTCTAGCAGGAATATAACGAGATATGAATGAAAATGTTCATAGCATTATTCTAATAATATAAAACTGGAAACAACGTAAATGTTCCATCTGCAGTGGAATTGATAAATACATTATTGATATCCATACAGAGAAATACTGTATATATGGCATTAAAAGGAACAAGCTATGCGATTGACAGGGATAAATCTTGGAAACATTACATTGTGTGAAAGAAGCCAGACACAAAGGGAAATAAATGGTGAATCCATTTTGGAAAGCTTGTAGACAGACAAAAGCAATTTATAATGTTAGAACTAAGGTTAGTGTTTAACTATGGGATGGAGGTGGGTTAATGATTACGAAGTGTTGTAAGGGAAGCTTCTGTTTCTTGAGCCTGTAGGGTATAGGTTACATTTCAATATAATGTTATTTTCAAATGAGACACTCTGAAAATGCTTAGCATGATGTCTTGCTTACTGAAAATGTTCACTAACTCGCAGTGTTAATGATTTACCATGGCTTAGTGCTCTGCCGTTCTGAGGTCTGGGCCAATGCTATCCAGCAGAACTTTCTGCAATGGTTACAGTGTGCTGTAGTTGCGTTGTCCAGCCCCTAGCCACATAAAAATGTGAAATTGCTTGGTGTTTTTTTTTCTGTGTGTGGAAGAAATGTTGAGGCTGAGTTCATACAGCGTCTTTGTGAGGGGGTGAGGAAAGAGGCTTGGTGATGACCGTGGAAAGATTGGTTGGGCAATTTTGAATAGCCTTGAATGGCATTATGAAGCAGTGCTGACTCAATCCATTAGTTCATGGAGAGCCAAGGAAGGTTTAAAACATGTGGGTTTCCTGTTAAGAATCTGTGTTTGGAGGGATTACTCTGGCAGTAGCAAGGACTGTGAACAAGAAGGTGGCCAGACTGAAGGCGGATGGATTGCATTATCCAACAAGAAACAAGGATGGCCTGAATTAAAGCAGTAGCAGTGAAGATGGAGAAGAGTTGGTGAACTTAATAGACCACAGGTGGGATGAGTGCCCCTGGAGGTTATGGAATGAGGGAGGATGCGTGTAGCACCTGGAGGTTTCTATCTGAATTGACTGTGTGACTGGAGAACTTACATTTGGGTTCTTAGATTAAGGGACTCAAAAGAAAGAACAGGTCTTTGAGAGTGGGATGAGTTTCAGCAGCTTTGTTGATGTATACATGTGCCATACAATTAATGGTTTTACTGTGTTCACAGAGTTGTTCAGCTGTCACCATGGACAATTTTAGAATGTTTTCATCACTCCGTAAAGAAACCTGGTGCCCAGTAGCAGTCATTCTCCATTTCCCCACAGTTGCTCCCCCTGCCCTGAGCCTCAGACAACCACTAATCTACTTTCAGTGTCTACGGACGTGTCTTATAAGTGAAATCGTGTAACCCGTGGTCCTTAGTGAGAGCTTCTTTCCCTTAGCATACTGTTTTCAGGGTTCATCCAGGGAGAGATCACTTTCTGCCTCCCATTATACTCACCTCATTGCAGGGACTATTGTTATATATTCCAGAGCTGTGTCTAGCACGTACTTTTGTGTCAAGTAATGACTTAGCAAATATTTGACACATCATAAGTTAGAAGGTTAATTCATTAACCACAAAACTAAGTTAACCATGATGAGCTGTTCCTACCCTGAGGTGTATCTGAATTTGATTTCGTGGGATAGGTGGTAGATACATGGGTGATGATGAAAGTTTTGAGATACATAGAAATCAAGGAATGTAAAATCCACGCAGACAGAAACAGTGAAGTCCTCCGAGCAGCAACCATAAACTGAGCATGTTGGAACTGGCATGGGTGAATCAGAAAGGATGCTAATGACTGTGTTTCTTGGAAGTGAAATAATGGACCGTAGCATAGTCTGTCTGAAAACTTTGGTAGTGACTCATGTACCATGCCAGTGTTGACCAGATCCTGGTTCTGTTGTTAATACTTTGTGTGACCTTGAGCAGGCCGTTTATACTCCCTGGAGACACTTTGCCTTAGCTGAAAATGGGGATAAAATTTCCTACCCAATCTGAAACTGAAGAAAAAAGTCAGATAATTCAACTAGATAGAATTTGGATAGAGTTGGGATTCATCCAGATACCTCTGGAAAGAAATGAATAGATATTTGATTCTGTTACCTAATATTCCTGGGATAGAAATAGTCCTCTCTAGGCCGGTGCTGTGGCTCGTGCCTGTAATCCTAGCACTCTGGGAGGCTGAGGCGGGTGGATTTCTTGAGCTCATGAGTTTGAGACCCCGTCTCTACTAAAAAAAGAAAAAAACTGAGGCAGGAGGATTGCTTGAGCCCAAAAGTTGGAGGTTGCTGTGAGCTATGATGCCATGGCATGCTACCCAGGGCGACAGCCTGAGACTGTCTCAAAAAACAAAAGAAAAAGGAAGTCGTCCTCCTTTGTAGCCTTTTTTTCCTGTGGGATATTAGGTGTTTTGTCCCCTTGGGTCTTTTTGGTCCCCAATGTAAAGGTCTCTGATTTTGTCTGTGGCGTACTGTTTCTCTTGTCACCAACCTGGGGTGTTTGACCTTTCCGATACTCTCTGGCCTTTCTTTCTACAATACTTAAGACACTTGTTTTTAAGGGTACTGGCCAGTAGACTCCCTACTTGACATAGTTTCCTGTCTTTTTCCTTTGGGAAGCTGAGGTGGAAGGATTGCTTGAGGCTGGGAGGTCAAGACCAGTCTGGGCAGTATAGTGAGAGCCTATCTCTACAAAAAATAAGAAAAGTTAGCTGGATATGGTGGTGGTCTGTGCCTGTAGTCATCGCTAATTGGGAGGTTGAGGTGGAAGGACTGCTTGAGCCTAGGAGTTAGAGGTTGCAGTGAGCTATATTCACTGTGTACTCCGGTTTAGTCCATAGAGGAAGACCCTATCTCTTAAAAAAATAGTAAATAAATATAAATGAAAAAGGTTTAAATTCACCTTCTCAAAATGAAATTTATAAATGCAGTTCCTTGTTTCAGCCCACTGTTAAATTTGGAGAGATGTTTATTGCTTTTATGTAGAAAACATATACTAAATGTGTACTGGTGTGCCGTGTGTCAAAGTCAATAAAATAGTTCTTGATTTCTAATCCCTCACAGTGGTTCAGTGGGAGGAGGCAGATAAATCAACAGATAATCAGGATAGTGTGAAAAGAGTCGTAGCAGAGGGAAGTACAAGTGGTTATGGGAGCAGCTGGAAGAACAGGCTGGGACCTTGTTTTGAAGCACACGTCCCCTGGCGTTTCTAGACTAACAACCATAACGCAAAAGCAGCCTGCTGAAGAGGACCTGGTGAAGTTCACCTTTCAGACTCCCATTTTAGAGAGCAGTCTAAAGCTCAGAAAGGTTCAGGGGCTGCCTCTTAAACACAGATTCTAGACTCAGCTTCTGTGTCTGTCCCTTCCCCCTCCTGCACATCTGTGTCCCTTACGCAGAGCATAGAAAGTGCCCATGCAGGGAACTAGCGTGTCTTGCCAGCCCCTCTCCTTTAGTTTCTCCTCCTTAATCGAAACTGGAGCTCAGATTCTGTGTCTGTGTTCAGCCTGCCTCCAGTGTCGGTGCTGCATTGAGTATTCAGGGCTGTAGCCGTGGTGAATATTGCTGATGTCATTGTTTGCCTTATTGGGATTTTGCTCTTTGTTTCACAGGGAGCTGTGATTGGTATAGACGATGAGGACGACAGCACCTTCACAATAACTGTTGATCAGAAAACCTTCCATTTCCAGGGTGAGCTGAAAGAAGAGATTCTTTCTCTTCACAGTCCCAACTGCTTCTTTCCTTCTCTTTTGGGTTGTTTGCTGGATAACTTGAATGGTTTTGCAACTGACCTGCATGAACGAGTCCACAAGAACGTTCTGGATGAAGTGGTACTGCAGGTTAGGCAGAGATTTGTGTCTGCAGTGGATACAGATCAATTTGAAACGACTGTGGATCTGGCTGCAAGTGGAGATTAAAAATTTAAAGGATAAAAATCAGTGAAGGGAGAGAGTAATGGGCTGCTGCTGCTGCTGGCTTGTGTTTACAGAAGGTTGCTGATCTTCTTTATCGAGGAGTGTGGTTCTGCTTCTCTGCATGAAGAGTCTAAAGACTGATTGCGAAGGTTGCGTTGTTTGTCTGTGTAAAACTCAAAATATAAATCAGATTGAAGCTAGGGGCAGCCTTTGGCTCAAAGGTTTTGCTCTGCTTCAAGAACTGCAAGTTTGCATTCATTTCATCTATATTTCTGTTCTGTCTCCCAGCCATCATTTCTCTGCTATTACCCTTTTTATAGTTAAAAACACCAATGCCATCTGCCACTGCTATGTTTCGACATTGCATGCTATGGTTCACCGGTAGAAAGGGTAAGGCACTGGATGCTTGTTCTCATTTCATTTTGCTTTGAAAACTCTAAACCAGCAAATAAAAGTCAATTTTAATGATCCTGTCCTAAAGTACCTCGCACCTGTTATAGGAGTGTTTATTAGTTTTAGTGCTAATGTTCTTGTTATTTTGCCTTTCTAGAATAATCTCTATTTTCTAAGAAACTTAGAAATTGAAAAGATTTGGAGAGGTTAGCACTTTTTCTGAACCACAAGTAACAATGCACTGTTATAGATGCTCGGTATACCAAGATAAATAAATACTAAATAAGTTTATTTCTTAAAAATGCTATGGTTATGATGTCTAACAGTGACCAGATGTATATTAGGTGAGGTGTTCAGGTGGCTATTGTCCTGCTCTGCTGGAGGAGCATATTGTGGTTATTTTTCTTCATTGTCTTGTTTAAGAAATTGACCCATAGAAATGAAAGATGCAGGTTCTTTACCAACATGCAATCAAGATAAACCGATGTACTCAATAGTGGTATCTCTAATTCTTTCTCTTGCTTATCCTTAAAATATTTACTGTATTTGGTAATGTTTATTCAGAGCTGCCTCAATAATGATGCTTTCCTGAAATTTTCTACTGTATTTAACTTCATAAAATATTTTTAATCCTATTTTGAAAGCCCCAGAGTCTTTACTTTTAGGTTAGATATATAATGAATGCTGCTTATAAACCAAAGCAAATAATTCCCACACCCAGAAGTCTTTACTTGAATGAAGTTAAATACTTTAATGCATTTAAGAAGAGTTGCTGGATGCAGGTGAAAGCTGCAGTATGGCATCCTCTCCTCTGCAGTTACTAAGGCGCTATCTCCCTTGGACTTTGAGTAGCTGTACAGTTTGCGGGTTTAAAGGAGAAGAGACTTAAGACCTCTAGAACAAAGCCTCCTCTACCTTCTGTTGTACCTGTAAATTATTTACTTCTTTTTTTAAATTTATCTCTTTAACATCCTCCCGTTTGTGAGGCTTGCTTATAAAACAAGAAATTGCCCTAATGAATTATTTAAATGTTAAGGGTAAATAAGAATTATGCATATTTTAAAAATAGATTCCTAGTTCTGAGTCTGTCAGATCAATTAGTTTATTTTCTACTCTAGTGGTTATGGGAGTCTTAGGCAACATGAGAGCTAGCTTTTGCAAAGAACTCGGTAAGACCGCATTTGGGGTTTTGTGGGGTGATATTGAGAATTAGTTCACATTCATAGGTCCTTGATCATAAGAAAAATCTCTGCAAATTTGAAAAAGTTCTCGAAGTCTAATCTTAAATCTTGATTAGAATTAAAAGCAAATGGTGGCTGATATATATTTGTGTATTTTTTAATGTGCTGAAGTTTTCATTTAGTATGCTAGAATTTTTTTAAAACAAATTCTGCTGTCAGAGGGAAAGATAGAATTTGTTTAGATACATTCATTTATTCATTCAGCATCTGTTTTAGTATTACTCTGGGGGATACAGTGGTATACAAAACAGATAATCCTCCTTCACTTTGGGTCATCTGTTCGCGTAGAAGAGAAGCCAACAAACAAGATAAATTAGTAAAATATAAGTCAATAAGAGAATGATAAGACCTGGGCAGAAAAAAATTAAGCTGGAAGGAAGAAAATGCAATAGAAGTGAGGTTGTATGTTTGGCAGTAGAAGTGGGGTGAGGGAGGGGGAGGTGTTGAAACTTTAGATAGGTGGCCAGGAAAGATTCAGTGAAATGGCATCTTAGGGAACAAGGTATGTTCTGGCCGTGTTGGGGAGGGACGGAGGTGGGTGCCTCACTCCAGGTAGAGGTAGTAATAAATGCAGAGAGTGTGCTGCCATGTTTGAAGAACAGCAAGGAGGCCAGCTGTGGTTAGAGTACAGATAAACACAGGGGGAGCAGTGGAGGAGGAAGTCTAAGATGTGACAGGACCTTTCGCTCTCGTGAACCTTTATAAGGGCATTGCATCTGACTAAGATTAGAGGCCAGAAGAGGGTTGTGAGCAGAGAAGTGACACGGTGTGATTTATGCTGTAACAGGCTCACTGTAGCTACCATGTTGAGAATAAATTCAGAAGGGCAAAGACTAAAGCTGGGAGACTATTGTAAACCAGAGGAGGGGTGTCGATGGCTCCCACGTGGAAGCAGCAGAGGGAGGGAGATAGTGAGAGGTGGTTGAATTGTATGTGCATATTTAATCAACTTATTGAAGTATAATTAACATAGAGTATAATATATAAATTATACAGTTCAACGAGATTTGATAAATTTATTTACTCACAACTGCCACCACAATCTATGAGTATTTCCATTATTCCAGAAGATTCCCTATCCCAAGCTCCTGGTCTCAGGCAACCACTGATCTGCTTTCTATCACTACAGATTCAATGCTTCAGTTGGAGAGTTTCACATATATAAAATTATACGTGTACAGTATGTACTCTTTTTGTCTGGCTTTGTTTTAGTTCAGCATGATGTTTTTAAGATCCATGTTGTTGCTTATGTTAGTTGTTCTTTTTATATTTCTAAGTAATATTCTATTGTAAATTTTTTTTTTTTTTGAGAAAGTTTAACTTTGTTGCCCTCGGTAGAGTGCTGGGGTGTCATAGCTCACAGCAACCTCCAACTCTTGGGCTTAAGCGATTCTCTTGCCTCAGCCTCCCAAGTAGCTGGGACTACAGGTGCCCACCACAATGTCCGGCTATTTTTTGTTGCAATTGTCACTGCTGTTTTTAGCTGACCAGGGTCGGGTTCAAACCCACCACCCTAGGTATATGGGGCTGGCACCCTACCCACTGAGCCACAGGCACCACCTTCTATTGTAATTTTTAATTGAAATTTTTACAATTGTATTTATTTTAAAGGTTGAATTGTAGCATATGACAGAAAGATAAGTCTAGGTTGGCACCAAAATTTTTGGCTTGAGTAACAGGAATGGGTTCCTGTTAACTGTGGTGGAAGATTATATGAGGAAGGAGGACTGGGTCAGGAATTTAGTTTACGAAACAATTTTTTTTTTTTTTTTTTGAGACAGAGTCTCATTCTGTTTCCCTTGGTAGAGTGCTGGGGTATCATCATAGCTCACAGCAACTTCAAACTCTTGGGCTCAAGCGATCCTCTTGCCTCACCCTCCCAAGTAGCTGGGATGACAGGTACCTGCCACCACGCCTGGCTAATTTGTCTGTTTTTAGTAGTGATGGGATCTCTCTTGTCCAGGCTGGTCTCGAACTCCTGAGCTCAAGAGCTCCATCTACCTCGGCCTCTCAGAGTGCTAGGATTATGGGTGCGAGCTACCATACCCAGCCAGTAAGTTTTACATGTCCACCAAATCCAAAGGGAGATGTCAGGTAGGCGGTTGGAGTGTGGAGTTCAGGAGAGACGTTCAGGCTGGAGAAGTGAATTTGAGAGTCTTTGGCACTAATATGGTATTTAAAGCCATGGGGATTTGTGAATTACGCACAGGCAGAAGAGTCCAAGTACCGAGCCCTCAAGCACTTGAACTTTTATTTGGAAGGCATGAGATGATAAAACCAGCAAAAGAAGCAGCCAAAAAGGAAGTGAAAAACTAAGTGAATGTCGTATCCTGCAAGCCAAGAGAAGAAATGTTTCCCAGAGGAGGAAAGAGGGATTCATAGCTGTGTCAAAAGCTGCTGGTAGGCCAAGTAAGATGAGAAGGAGGGGTTTCTCACCTTTAAAAAGGAGGGGTTTATTGGTGACCTTGAGAAAAGCAATTTTAAGATAGGAGTCTAGACAGTGCGTTCAAGTTATTTTTTTTGAGACAGAGTCTTACTTTGTCCCTTCTGTAGGTGCTGTGGTATCATAGCTCACAGTAATCTCAAACTCTTGGGCTCAAGTGATCCTCTTGCCTCAGCCTCCCAAGTAGCTATGAGTATGGTACCTGCCACTACACCTGGCTAGTTTTTCTATTTTTAGTAGAGTCAGGGTCTCACTTTTTCTCAGGCTGGTCTTGAACTGAGCTCAAGCAATCCACCCACCTCGGCCTCCCAGAGTGCTAGAATTACAGGCACGGGCCACCGTGCCTGCTTTCAAGTTCTGTTGTGTGTAAAGGGAAGGTGAGAAACAAAGCAGTAGCTGGAGGTGGAAATGGGAGCAAGGGAGTTTTATTTCATTTTATTTTTTTAGAATAAGAGAAATAATAGCATATTTCTGTGTGGTTGGCAGTGATTCAGTAAACAGGGAAAAAGAGAAGAGTGAAAGGGGAGAGTTGTTGGATCAGTGTGCTCAAGTGGGCAAGATGTACAATAGGATGAGACCTAATGTACAGCAGGGGACGTTGTCTTTGGCTAGGAGTGTGGACAGCTCATCCATAGTAACATAGCTGTGATTGTTGATGTTGCCCTGGATGGATTAAAGCAGCAGTAATGGGAAGGAAAA